GCAGGGCTCGGGGCCCGGCCGCGCTGCGGGTTCCTCCCCTTCCTCCTCCTCTCTTCAGAGCTTTTATTTCTGCTGAGTACAGAGCAGGTGACACCGTCGTGGACCCGCGGGAGCTGCCCGGGCGTAACCGATAACTACCCGGCCGGCCATGACTGCGGATGGCTAATTTAAGGGCTCTTTGAATGACTTGGTATTTAAGGAGCCTGGCTCGGGCGGATCGGCTTCCAGAGAAGGCTGATTGTGTCGTTAGATTCCTAAATAAAGTGGGGAGCAGAGCCTTGCAGGACGGTCTGGGGAAGACGTAAGAATGTGTTGGCTTCCTTAATTCAGATGTAAAAAAGTTTGTCTGCTGTTAGTACATTAGTACGTCTCTTCCAGCATTACTCCAATGCCAGTCGGGTCATCGTGTAAAATGACTTAGCTATGCAGATGCCAGAAGGTGTTATTAAGTAAGAATTTTCGGGTAAATTGTTCAAGTAAATCTTTAAAAGATACAAGAAAGCAAAATACTACTGTTGTACTTCAAAGAAATAAAGCTCTCCAATTTAAGCTTGAGCCTTGCTTCAGAAGTTATTGCTTGAGCCCATTTAGTCAATTGAAAACGTTATATATACAGGCAAAATGAGTTTGCTGGCATTAGTCTCTTGCTTTTCCCCCTAGGGGTTATTTAGGCAACTTAGGAGGCTGACAGTGCCAAGAAGTTCCTGTTAAATTGAGGTTTTAAAACAAGTTCCACCTTGCATGGGTTTGGATTTATGGCAGGCCCGTCCCCCTGGGTCTCTCATAGTGTCCCATGCCAGAGCAAACTGTGGCCCCGAACCATTGCCTGGCCTCTGCCTATAGGCTGCTGGCACTGAAGAGGGTTGCACAGTGGAGAAAAGAAAGCCCTACCTGGCAGAAAATTTTAAAGGTTCAGTAATTTAAAGAAAATACATTTGCTAACATCACATTTTGTGATGCCCAAGGACAGTGGCTTTTATTACTAACCTGATATTATTGTATTTTTGTAAATTAATAGTTAGCCAGAAACTACTCCCAAATGGTTGTCATTTATAGCTAAGCGAACATTAGAGGGTCTATGAAGACAGTTGGAGTTTCTAGATTTGCTATTTTGGTAGCCGTCACTGGTTCAAGACTATTGTTTTGTTTTTTTACATAATTGCAACTATATCTTATACTGATTTGAAAAAAAGATATTAAAAAGATATTTTAAAAGATTTTTTTTTCAGCTAATGTGGCATGAAAATTCATTCATGAAATTCTTGTAAAATTTATGAGTACTTTTAAGTTGAGCCCTCTGGATATTCCTGGTTACTGAAATTATTGTACATCGACTTGGTTAAGCTGGGTGAGGTGGCACATTCTTTAATCCCAGTGACTCATGATGGCTAGGACAGGCGGGTCACCAAGTTTGAGCCCAGTTTGATAATTTAGCCAGACCCTGTCTCAAAATGAAAATAACTCTGCTGGAGATGCAGATCAGTGGTAAAGCACCACCGCGTTCAATGCCTAGTACCAATACCAAAGAAAAACTTTGTGGAGGTAAGAAATGGGAGGATTTTTTGGACTGAATATAGTTGCTATAATGTTCTTTTAAGTTTCTAAAGAGTTTAAACAGCTCTGAAATAAGAAAACTGACATAAAGCTTGTATCTGTATCAGTAATCTAAGTACAGACAAGCCTCTGAAACCTGCATTCTACAGTTGTTTTTTGGCACAAATGTTTGAAATGCTTCTTCTGAGATGTGCCATTATTATATGTGGAATTTTAGTGTGCTGCTTTAAAAAACTTAGTTTTGAATCTGATGGTTTTTAAGATACTGCAGAGGTTTATGGGATCGTGTCACACCTAGGAAAAAGTTTAAGTAGACCATCATTGAGTGGTCTACTTAAACTGGGTGCTTGATTCTGTGTCTCATGCTGTCACAATGCCTGGTCCATCAACTTGATGAGATTCTAAGGTAGACAGAAATTCTCATGTGTTTCTGTTTCAGAATATTTCCACTGCTGGACCGAGGACACCTGGTTTGGAATTCCTGGAGAATTACCTTTGAGAGAAGCTGGAAATAATTTCTTTAAATTTCATCTCTTAGTTTCCATGTAAGTATTCACCTTGTAATTTTGTTACAGATTCATTTTAAGATTGTATTGCTGTGGCTTCTGAGTTAATTTTTTCACCCTGTTTGCAGCTTGTTGCATTTCTGAGGCTTATCCAGGAGCCATGAACAACTTTAGTAATGAAGAGTTTGACTGCCACTTCCTTGATGAAGGCTTTACTGCCAAGGACATTTTGGACCAAAAAATTAATGAAGTGTCTTCTTCTGTAAGTATGGAAGCACCCCCCCCCCAATGGCAGTAGCTGAGAGTGCTGGGCCAGCGGGGAACTTGGGTCTTGGAAAGGAAATGAGGTGCCACATCCATGTCTTGTTGGGGATTCAGAATTTTAATTAACTATGGTTGTGACAATGGTGGTAGCCTGTCAGTTAACTATACGAGTAGAATTCATCCAACCTATGGAAAGAAGGGAGGCTGCATGTTAATTAGAATATTGCAAGGCGGCTAATGAGTTCCTGTATCCACTTCATTTCAGGACGATAAGGATGCCTTTTATGTCGCAGACCTTGGAGACATTCTAAAGAAACATCTAAGATGGTTAAAAGCTCTTCCTCGTGTTACCCCCTTTTATGCAGTCAAATGCAATGATAGCAGAGCCATAGTGAAGACCTTAGCTGCCATTGGGACAGGATTTGACTGTGCTAGCAAGGTAAGCAAAGGTAGCAGGGTTCCCAGATATTTCTATAAAATGATCCTGCAGGCCAGAGTTTTTCTTGGGCATTAAATGCTAATGAAGGGTGCTCACAGGACACCTTTGCATGCTTTTGTTTATTGTCGAAGTGTATGTATACCATGACACCAGTCTTCTGTTTCAGACTGAAATACAGTTGGTGCAGAGTCTCGGAGTGCCTCCAGAGAGGATTATCTATGCAAATCCTTGTAAGCAGGTGTCTCAAATTAAATATGCTGCCAGTATTGGAGTCCAAATGATGACTTTTGACAGTGAAGTTGAGTTGATGAAGGTTGCCAGAGCACATCCAAAGGCAAAGTGAGTTACCTTCCATTGAGGCATTTGAGAAGGGTAGGCATTGTAGGTTCTTGTCAGGCAAACTTAAATTTCCAATTATTCTGTTTTTATGCTGGAGTAGAAAACAGGTTGAACCCTCAGGTGATGAGTATAACTATAACTATGTTAGATACAACCAACCACGAAGTAACAGCTGATATTTAGGGCGGGTTTTGTGTAATTTGACCATAACTCTTAGTGATCTGTCATGAGATTTGATATGCTTTCCTTGTTCTAGGTTGGTTTTGCGGATTGCTACTGATGATTCCAAAGCAGTCTGTCGTCTCAGTGTTAAATTCGGTGCCACACTCAAAACCAGCAGACTTCTTTTGGAACGAGCTAAAGAATTAAATATTGATGTCATTGGTGTCAGGTGAGATCTTGGTGTCAGTTAGCAGCTGATATGTTTAAGTAGTATCAGTTTTACAGGCTTTTACCTACTGTTTTGAGAAATGGAAAGAGCGTCTTGTGTCCTTTTATTCACAGCTTTCATTTTATTCACAGCTTTCACGTGGGGAGTGGCTGCACTGATCCTGAGACCTTCGTGCAGGCCATCTCTGACGCCCGCTGTGTCTTTGACATGGGAGTGAGTACAGAATCTTAGTGAAGTATGGGCAGGTGTGTCAGCAGATCTGGTTGTGTGACCTCTTGAATCTTCTTGGCTCTAGGCTGAGGCTGGTTTCAGCATGCGTCTACTGGATATTGGTGGTGGCTTCCCTGGATCTGAGGATGTGAAGCTTAAGTTTGAGGAGGTAATTTCTGACAGATGACACAGTGGCTGTTTTTTAGCAAGCGCCTTCTTAAAATTATTCAAAGCCTAAATTTAAAAAAAATTTTTTTTAGTTGTAGATGGACACAATATCTTTATTTTTATGTGGTGCTGAGGATTGAACCCAGCACCTCACACATGGGAGGTGGGTGCTCTGCCACTGAGCCACAACCCCAGCCCTCAAAGCCTAAATATTTTAACTAGTACCAAAGGGGTAAACAAGCATGAAAATCAGTATCTTTAGTGTTAATATTTTGAGTGACTTGTGTTATTTAAAATTGTATAAATACCATTTTCTAAACTAAGCTTTCCCAGAATTTTTGGGTTGTTATTGATTACTACATTAACAAATGCTGTGGTGGTGTATGCCTGGAAGCTCAGTGACTTACGAGGCTGGGGCAGGAAGATTACAAGTTTGAGGCCAGTCTCTGCAATTTAGCAAGACCCTGTCTCAAAAAACTGAGGGTGTAGCTCAGTGATAATGTCCCTGGGTTCATTCCCCAATGCTGGGGCGGGGGTTGGGGGATGCTACTGTGGCTGGTCAGAATGGCACATGTCTGTAGTCTAAATGACTTAGGAGTCTGATGCAGGAGAATTACAAATTCAAGGCCAGCTTGGAAAACCTAAAAACTTAGACCCTTTTTCAAGTAAAAGAAGACTGGGGGTAGACCTCCGGAGTAGAGTGCCCTGGGTCCAGTCGCCATTATGGCAGAAGAGGAGCAGAAGTGCGGCTGTGCAGATAGTGGCAGAGAAGGCATGCAAGCAACCTAGGTGTGCCTTGCTAGATTTGGCACTTCCTGTAAGAATCTAATATTTAGGCCTTTAGGAAGCCAAGCTGTAATGTGACACTTGAGTTGCTAAAGTAAATGTACATTGTTATTTGTAGAGGTGAGTGAGGTAGGCAGAATGGAAAGGTTTTGACCTTGTGGCATGCATACTATTTGATAAAGTCATATCCATAACTTTTTGGTGGGGCCATCTAACTCAGGTTGTGCCTACTCAGCTAGTGTCATACCACTGAGCTATATCCGTAGTTTTTTGTTTTGTTTTTAAATATTTTTTATTTGTAGTTGGATACAATACATACCTTATTTTATTTATTTATATGTGGTGCTGAGGATCGGACCCAGGGCCTCTCACCTTCTAGGCGAGTACTTTACCACTGAGCCACAACCCACATCCCTAGTCTTTTTGAGACTGGGCCTTGCTGTGTTGCCAGGCTGTCCTTGAACTTGGTGATCTTCCTGCTTTAGCCTCCTAGGTTACTGGAGTTACAGGTATGCGTCACTGCTTGGCCCCTAACATCTTAAAAGGGCAGAGATGGTACTCGGAGGGGAATCACCCAAGTGAAATAACAGGGATACACAGACTGGTTTCCAGGGAGATTTTTTTTTTAATTTTTTGCTTCTGCTGGTGCCTGCTCTTGTCATGTCCTGTTACTGTTATTCACAAGGCGCTGTGATCTTTCTCCTTCATGTGAACTCTTCATAATAAATGGCTGCTCTGTGTCACTCTTTTAGATCACCAGTGTGATCAATCCAGCACTGGACAAATACTTTCCATCAGACTCTGGAGTGAGAATCATAGCTGAACCAGGAAGATATTATGTTGCTTCAGCTTTCACACTTGCAGTTAATATCATTGCCAAAAAACTCGTATTAAAGGAACAGACAGGCTCTGATGGTATGTATGATGGTCAGGGTGAATTGTTGCACATAAAAATGTAAATTGGAAGAAAAAGTAGTAATTAAGGCTAATCTGTTTTTCTAGATGAAGATGAGGCAAGTGAACAGACCTTTATGTATTATGTGAATGACGGAGTATACGGATCATTTAATTGCATCCTTTATGATCATGCACATGTAAAGCCCCTGCTGCAGAAGGTAACTTGTGAACATGCTGTCTAAAGCAATGAGGATATTTGATAAATGAGTATAATTAAGCAATAATTTTTTTTTTCACATAGAGACCTAAACCAGATGAGAAGTATTATTCATCCAGCATATGGGGACCGACCTGTGATGGCCTTGATCGGATTGTCGAGCGCTGTGACCTTCCCGAAATGCATGTGGGTGATTGGATGCTTTTTGAAAACATGGGTGCATACACTGTTGCTGCTGCTTCTACTTTCAATGGATTCCAGAGGCCAACTATCTATTATGTGATGTCAGGACCAACATGGTGAGTAGAAATCATGCGTGTTTATGGTTTTAACAAGAGTAGGCACCTGGGCTGAGCATGTGTCTTGGTGGTAAGAGTTTTGCCTAGCAAAACTCAGGGCATCTTGGTGCAGTCCTTAGCAGAAGCCCCCCAAAAGAAAATCTCTTCAGTATCACTGTGTATTCAGGTTTTCAGATAATTTTGAAGAAATGCTTTTTTTTTGTGGTGCTGGGGATTGAACACCGGGGCCTTGTGCCTGTGAGGCAAGCACTCTACTAACTGAGCTATAACCCTAGCCCAGAAATGCTTGTTATAAAAATACACTGTCCTGGCACAGTGGCTCATGCCCCTCAGGAAGTAAGGCGGGAGGATCACAAATTTGAGGCCAGCCTTTAGCAACTTAGTGAGACCCTGTCTCAAAATTCAAAGGGCTGATAATGTAACTCAGTGGTAGTGTGTCCCTGAGTTCAATTTCCAGTACAGGAGGTGGGGATAGAGGGGAGGCCTGTGGATGTAGGTCAGCGATAGAGTGCGTCCCTGGCATGTGCAGCACCCTGGGTTTAATTCCCAGTACTTCAACAAATAACCAAGAATAAACATTGAATTACTTCCTGATAGTGTAAGAGACCAAGGACATGCTGTCATGGATGAGTTATTCTCATGGGTGCCTGCCCGGATAGAAGTGACTGGGGTTTTGAATATGCTCCTTCTTTGTCTCTCAGGCAGTGCATGCAGCAAATCCAGAACCATGGCTTCCCACCCGAAGTGGAGGAGCAGGACGTTGGCACTCTGCCCGTGTCTTGTGCTCAGGAAAGCAGCATGAAACGTCACCCGGCAGCCTGCGCCTCCACTAGTATCAACGTGTAGATGCAGCTCTGTAGCTGTTCACTACAGATTTAGCTTAAGTTAAGGGATCTGGGGGGACCATTTAACTTAATTACTGCTAGTTTTGAAATGTCTTTGTAAGAGTAGGGTTGGCACAGATGCAGCAATACGGACGACTAGAAGATGGGGTCACACTTATCTGTGTTCCTATGGAAACTATTTGAATATTTGTTTTATATGGATTTTTATTCACTTTTCAAACAAGCTACTAAAGAGTGCCCCCTCAGCTGCCCAGCAAGCATTTGTAGCTTGTACAGTGGCAGAATGGGCCAAAAGCTTAAAGTTTTGACCTGTTTTGAAAATAAAGTATCTTGAAATAATTAGGTCTTGGGATTTGTGCACTGTGTCCATTTCAGGTGGTTTGAGGATCCTGTATTGCAGATTCTCATGATGGATCTAATCTGTACTAGGTAGAGGGAAATGGATGGATGGTCCAAGACCACACCCTTTGGACCCTGCATATCTGTCCACCCTGAGTGTTTGTAGCTGGCTATGGATGGACTTGGGTACCCAGAGCCTTTTGAGAGATACAGTATGCCTTCCTGCCCTATCATAGCCAATGCCAAAGGGTGGGACATGAGGCCCTTTGAACCTTGCCTACAGAAACTATATTGTTCCCCTTTCCACCTTGATTTCACACTTATACATGTGACAGGGCCTAGCACCTGGCAGTCAACTTACCATACTAAATTCAACAACAACAGTAATTACTTTACATGTAGATCTTTACCTTCTTGTCTGACCTTGACCACTGGCCTTTCATGTTTGTGTTCCCAACACCCCTGCTCCTGCAGAAAGGATGGCAGGCTCATGAGGTTAAGTGTTGCCCTTGTAAGGACCATCGTTGAGGGACAGGATAACTCTGCAGCTTCTGTTCTAGGGTATGACTTGTTAGCTACCCTGTGGAAGCCCTCCAGCTAGTGTAGTGTTCACCCAGGTAAGGGGAGGGAGAGGACTTACTGCTTTTCAAGAGCTACCCTTCCCCAAAGTCCTGCTCCGCTAAACTAAAGCTTGGTTTGTCACTAGCCTTCGTCTCCCTTCCTGGACCCAGGGTATAATGGTTTTAGTCCACCAAGATGGAAAGTTTCTTGGCCAATGGAGAAGATAGATTGTGACTGGAGTTGGGGATGGCAGAAGAAATATCTTAGTCTGCACTGCCTGCTAAATCTTGGAAGTAGGGTTCAGGTATATGAAGGTAACCGAGCTTGCCACAAGGGCAGGTGCTCAGGATCTGGTACTCACTACTTTCTAAAACTGGAATTGGTGGGAAGGTACCATACTCAAGGAATTTGAGCTAGGTACCAAGCTTGGGAGTTTCATTTTAAAAAATTTAGACCTATAGATCACTGTGGCAATACTGAGCTTGCCTTTAAGAAAAGGGAGAGATGATTATTAAAAAAATAATAATATCATACTAAATTCCACACAGCCAGATAAAATGTCCACCATTGGCAGGGACAGTGAGGGCATAGGAGCCCCAGATGAACCTGCCCCTCATACTACAGTCTCTTCCACTGGCCCCATGGGTCTCAGGCCCATGTCCCTTGAACATGGGAGTAGGCAAGTGAGCTTGGCAAGCGGGAATAGAGGCCGTGAGCAGCCCTCCCATGGCCTAGCTGTGTAAACACCACGCACTGTTTCCACGAGGCCCTAAATTTGTAGTTATCCGTTAAATGTTAACCGTTGAAGATGGTATTGTCTGCTCATGTACAGATACAGGCATTGTAGACCTGAGGTTTGAAGCAAGTGTAGCTCCACCAAGGCCACTAGTGACCATTTCTTCCTAGGGGTGCTGGAGTCAGCCCCCATTGGAGGAGAGCCAGGGAAATGGAGCCCTTGTATCCAAACCATAAACTGCGGTAGGATCACTTGGAGCTTCTTAAAAAAGGGGGTTGATGTTGAGTGTGTTGGTACACACCTATAATCCCAGCCATTTTAGGAGGCTGAGGCAGAAAGATTGCAAGTTCAAGACTTGCCTCAGCCATTTGTAAGACCCTGTGTCAAGATAGAAGGACTGGGGATGTAGCTCAGTGGGAAAGTGTTCCCTGGGTTCAATCCCCAGTAGCAGAAAGAAAAAGTGGCATTATCAGGCCTCAGACTCTGGGGGAACTGGGTAATCATTTAGGAAAAATAAAATATCCCCAACTCATGCCAAAATTATTTTCATCTTTTTTTTTTTGTACTGGGGGTTGAATCCAGAGGTGCTTTACCACGAGCTATATTGCCCGCCATTTATGTGTGTTTGTGAGAGACAAGGGTCTTAGGATCCTTTTGTCGCTGCCTTCCAGTTTTCTGGGATTATAAGTGTTTCATGGCCTTGCCCATAATAAATTATTAATAGAGGAAAGTTTCAAATGTAACAAACTAGAACTGCTGGGAACATTTGAAGTCAAAAGGTGAGAGAAGGGGAAAATGACAACATGATGGAAAGGGCTGATTTTTATAATAAAAACTCCCAATAAATGCATAAAGGAAGAGTCCAATGGAAAGTGGACAGGGCAGGAGCATGGTTCTCCAAAAAAGACAACTTTCTGAACATGAAAAACATGCTCATGTATGAACATTTAATATATGAGTATAAAGTGCATGTTTTTTCACCTGTCAGACTGGCAAAACTCGAGTTCTCAGCACACGGTGTGGACAGGCACGCTGACACGCCGTATCTAGAAAATTCTGAGGGAATGTGTCAGTACTAGTAATTCACATTATCCTTGGCCTGGCACTCTAAGAATTTCTATGGCTCTTACAAGACGCCTCATCATGGCGTTGTAACAGTGTGTTTGAAAACCCCAGTGACACAAGAGGGTGCCGAAATTACCAGTGGACCGGGACACAGTGCTGCTGAGGAGCTGGACAGGTCTGCAGGTGCTGATGTGGAGCAGCCACCAAGCTAGACTAATTGTGACAGCAGAGTGAGGAACATTCATATACTACTGTCCCATGTAAAAAGCAAAACCAAAGATCAAAACCCACTAAACTGTGTGTATTGCTTCTTGGCAGAATTGAAAGCCTAGGGAGGAGAGAGGGTCTAACTGCAAACTGTCCTTTTGACAGGATGATATGCTGCTGATGTCACAGAGGTTGCAAATTGGCTTCATAGGTGAAAGGGGCTCAACACTAGCTCAGTCACACAGACCGCAAGGTGGCATTCAACCCGTGTCCCTGACTCCAGCTTCCCGCCAGCTGGAGGTGGTGTTAGGGTGGCAGCCTGGCTCTGGACTGGGTGGGGGTGATCACTTAGTAGTTAGGTGCTCCTCTCACCCCACGTGGTAACCTCCACAATGGTGACCACCTCCTGAGATTCCACCCTTACCTCCCCTGAAGTTATTCTTGATGGCTGACTGGCCGCCCCTCCACTGGGGTTTTCCTGACCCTCGCCGTATACCTTTAATTGGCAAGGGCCTCCGCCCAGGCTGGGTCTGGGGGTTTCTTGCATCATCTCTGGGCCCAGCTGGAGAACAGCCCCCTAAAGGTGAATCAGCCCTTTCCAAACCCAGCTCTGCCGACCACTAGGTCGCCTCAGTGCCGGGGAGAGGGGTGGAGGACGAGTGAGGAGCTCTGTCCTCTCGGCCTCATCCAGCTTTGTACATTTGGCTTCAAGAGAGGGTGCCCTCTCTTACAGATGGATGGTACCCAGAGAGGCCAAGGGACCCTTGTGGGTAAGCTAGTGAGTTCAGGGAAGTACCTGAGAACAAGCAGGTCCCTGTGTCCCTGAAGAACTGTCCCCAGGACCAGATTGCTCTTTGTGGTGGCATCCCCCGGCTGGGGGCAGCGAGCAGGGCAGCCAGAGCGCCTGTAGCCCTGCAACTCCACTGAGCTTGACCCTCAGAGCCATTTCTGTTCTGCACTGAGCCAGGCACTGGGCAGATCTAGTGGAACCTGGTCCCCCCCACCACTAGCTAGCCACAGGGCCTGTCCCTCCCCTGTCTCCCCCTTCCCTACCTCGTGCCAGTGCCCACTCTTATAAGGAAGGAGCGGTACAGTCCAGAATTTAGTGCACTGAAGAAAACAGTGCACTAAATTCTGAGGAATTCTGTTAGAATATTTGATCTGCCCTCACTGCTGGCCTTAGGAAGGGGAGGGCTGAAGACCAGATGTGCTTGGCCTCTGGCCAAAGGGGTACTGAAGGCCAGGCCCTGCCAAGTTGCTTCTTTTCTGCCCGAGAGAAGGCATAGGGAGCCAGGACCAAGCCGAGGGTCGGAACCTCTGGGTAGGAGAGTGGCTACACCAGGAGGCTGGTACGCCTTGCCCTGGGGTGGCCTGTGGCATGGTCAGACCCTGCCAGCTTCTGACCTGCACAGGTCTGTGAAGCTCAGCTCTGTGCCTTGACAATTTGGGTGGCCAGTTTTAGCAAATCAACATATAATATGTTGTATGGGACACACATAAACTGAAAAAACCATTTGCTGTTTTGTCTAAAATTCACGTCTGACTGGGTACTTGTATTCCAGTCAACAAGGACTCTGAGTCCATGGCACCAAGAGCTAGCTCTAGCTTGTTTCCAGTACCAAAAAAAAAACAAAAAGGGAGCCCGCTGTGTGGCCCACTGCAAGTCAGGTGCTTCTGTGGTCCTCAGGACCCTCATCTGTCAAATGGGACAGGGGACAGAAAGGTTCTACTCGTGGTGAGCCTAGTGGCTCTGAGATCTGGGGAGGCCTTTAGGAAGTGACTCCCCTGAGCCCATCCCAATCATGGCCACTAGAGGGCAGCAGCTCCTCGTGTTTAAGGTGTGTTCAAGTCAGCCACCAGCATACATTGAGGAAGCCCTACTATGTGCAGAGTCCTATCATGACAGGAGGTATCGTGTGGCCTGAGGGCTGTGGAACTGCAGTATGGTTCTGACCCAGAGCTCCAAACTCACCCCTGCCACATACCGAGGACTTTGAGAAAGGGGCTCTAAGCCACCTTGTCCCCTGACCAAGCCCCTTTCCCTACCCATCCCCACCCCCACCAAATGCTGTAAGACTAGCTGGCCGGTCCTCTCTAGCCTGTGTGATTTTGTTCCTCTGTTTGTCCCTGCAGTGGGTAATGTCCTTAGCCATGCTTCCTGGGGTGTCCCCAGACCCTCCCCTGTGTGCATGCAGCACCCGATGGCCTGGCCTGGCCTCCCCTACTACCCTGGGTGCATGTTCATGGTCTGCACCCACAGACGTGATTTGCCTGCCCCCACACCACCCAGCAGCTTTGAGGATGGGGCCCCAGACCACGTGTCTTGGAGCATCTGTCCCTGGTACCTGTCATTGAGAGAGGCTGCCCATTAAGGCTGCCCGTGTTGTCCCCTCCCTGATTTGTGTGGTCTCCAATTGGCTCTTCCCACTCCATGCCTGCTGCTGGCCCGGGGCCCCATGCCTGCCTCACAGGGCCTGGTGGAGCCAGGCCAATCACCCACGGCTAGCCCTCAGTCCTGAGCCCCAGAGCCCCGGGACTGGGTCCTGCCCCCGGGGCCTCACCTCCCCCAGGTGCTCAAGCCCCTCCCTCTGATGGCCAGTATAAGGTCATGCTCAGCGTCCCAGCTCTCAAGACACAGCTCAGAGGCGAGGACAGAGGCCTTGTCCAGCTCATTCACTGCCAGGTGAGGACTTGCACCTGGGTCTCCGCGCAGGGTGGGGTGTCAACAGGATGGTGCATGAGCCAGGGTGGGGGAAGACAGGTACGTCGCACCCTGGAGCAGCCTCCGGGGTCACAAACGGACCTCGTTTCCAGGGAAGGGCCACAGGGGTCTGGGGCAGATGTGTGGCGAGTGCCCTGAGGCTCTGTCGCGTCCACTCTCACGAAGCCTCACTCAGGCACGTGCAAGGCTTCCCGCCTGCGGAGAGGGGCTCACAGCCCTCCCAAGGGAATGGGACCAACTAGAGGTGCCTGCACAGAAGGGGGTCCCAGGGACAAGGAGGAGAGAGGCCTGCAGGAGGACGAGGTGCCAGCCCCTCACCAGGAAGGGACAGGAGGAGGTCCTCTGTGGAGAGCCCGTGGAGGGTTCCTACCGGGGAGTCACTATGGATGACAGTTTGGGGTTCATTTGGGTTATTTCCCCTGTAAATGAGCTGGGCTCCCCCTTTTTTTTTTTGGTACTGAAAACTTTACCACTTTTTTGTTTTTTAATTTTTTTTTCGTTGTAGATGGACACAATACCTTTTATTTATTTGTAGTGGTGCCGAGGATTGAACCCGAGGCCTCACACATGCTAGGCAAGTGCTCTACCACTGAGCCACAGCCCCCAGCCCAAAAACTATCACTTTTGATCGTGGGCACTTTACCACTGAGCTACGTCTCCAGCCCCTTTTTTATTTGAGACAGGGTCTCTCTAAGTTGCTTAAGGCCTTACTAAGTTACTGAGGCTGAGCCCAAACTTGGGATCCTCCTGTCTCAGCCTCCTGAGTCGCTGGGTTTATAGGCATGCACCACCAGGCCTGCTGAATTGGGCTTCTTGGTTTATGGCCATCATGTGGCAATTTCCCCTTTCCCAGGCTGCAGTAGACTCCCTGAGAAGCCATGTTGACTTCAATGAGCTCCTGCTGGGGTAGGGTCCACTGAGACCCCCAGATCCATGTCTTCCACATTTGGACAGAAGAAGCTTTGATGGTCAATTTCATTTGCTGACTTGACTGTTACAGGTGCCAGACCTCTGGCAAGCTTTCACTGGGTGTGTCAGTGAGGGCGTTTCTGGGTAAGATTAACTTGGAAATCTGTAATTGAACAAAGCAGAGTGCCCTCCCTGATGGGGGTGGGCCTCATCCAATCCACTGAAGGCCTGGAGAGAACAAGAAGCTGAGCAAGAGAACTTGACTTTGGTCCAATCATCTTGAGCTTGGACACTGATCTCCTGCCTTCAGACTTGCACCTGGAACTACACCATCACCTCCCCTGGGCTCCAGCCTGCTGACTGCAGATCTTGGGACCCTGCAGCTTCCATAATTGCATCACTCTCTCCGATACCTTATGATCCCTCCATCCAGCCATCCCTCCAACCACCTCTCCCGGTCCACACAGCGCTCTTTCCTGTTTACACCCACCAGACCGTTCCCATGGGAACTAGTCCTCCCCACAACAAGCACTTCTGATTTGACCTCTGCCAGTCCTAGTAACGTTTTGTAAAACTTTAGCGCCTCACTCCACAGGCCTGGCAGAGTGGCCAAAGGCACCATCCTGCTCTTGGTAGCAAGCCGAATCTACCCCAGGTCCCCTGCCTGTGCCCTCTGCACCCTACCTGGTTACCAATAAGGCTCAGCACCTTGGGCAAAGGGGAAATTGTACCAAGAAATAGTCTCACAGACCGGGGACTCAGCAGGCAGCTGGCAGCTGGCCCGCCCTTCCTGTTAAGAGGTGTTACAATGACCGCAGGCAGCAGGCTGCTCACTGGGGGCTGCTGAGAGGAAGCTCCACGCAGGCGCTCGCACACATGACCCTGAGCTGTCCTGTACAAAGGGAGCCACCGAGGCACAGGGGAGTGGTGGCCAGTGGGCGCATGTGACACTGCAGATGTCCTTCTTTGCAACAGAACCTCAATTCTGTCTCTAACGAGCTCCTGCCTTTTGGCGGAGCTGGGTGGCCCCTCAGCCAAGGGCTCATCCTGACTGGCCTCAGCCAGCCGTGGCCATGTCACAGCTGTCTGGCCTGGCACTGGTCTGGGTGTGGACAGGGACAATGGTCTCAGCTGGTGAGATGTGCAGCTGCAGGGAGATGCCGGAATGTCCCCCCTCTCAGAGGAAGGTCAGGGGCCTCTGGATGCTCCAGGCCACACGGTCGTGGGGACCTCGGAGAGTCAAAGAGCTGGCTCTGAGGCTGGAGGTCGGGGAGGGGAGCCACCAGGGCCTTCTTGAGTCTGCTAAGCCTGTGACGTGGCCTTGGACTTCTGGGCACCAGAGACAAACGTGGCATGGCTGAGGCACCTTCATGAAGGTGGATTTTCTGCTGCAGGGACCTGACAGAGGAGGCGGGAGGAGAAACCAGGTTGCCCACTCGGCGGCCATGCCGATGCCCCTGGCCATGCCTCGCCTCTGGACTCGGCTTTCCTGCCACCTGACCGATTAAGCCGGGGGTTGGGGCGTGCAGAAGCTCGTCGGCCAGACCTGCCAAGAACGATCATCTTTCATTTCCACGAATCTCGCTTGGCATTAGGCGGATGTTGGATAACAGGCTGCAGTTTACAGACGTGGTGACGGCCAGAGGGGTAGGAGGGGGCCAGGTTCACACCAACAGCAGGACTCCTGGGACCCGCCTTTCCTGCAGAGTCGGGATGGCACCCTGGGAGGGCTCCCCTAGCAAACACGAAACTCGGAGAACTCCACTGATTTGATCATTTTAATACCGGAAATGCCAGACCAATCAACAGGGAGGACAGATCACACAGACACCTGCATTCACATGAGTGGCAGGTCCCCATAGCCCTGGGCGCGTGCATTTCCTTTTGGAGAGGGCAGATGGAGATGCATAAATACCACAAAACAACCAGGCGTGGAGGGGTCACAGGCCACGAGGGGACCATGCTTCAAAGGCAATCGGAGGCATTAAATACGGGGCCTACACGGTACACGTCACTTCACCATACACATAATTTATATATTAAAGAAAGGAGACCACAATATATATACGTGCAAGCGGCTTTGGTCAGAGAAAATGAACAGGGACGTGGAGCCATGCACGGGAAGGGCTTGCCTGTCTGCTCTCCATTGGTCTTTGTCCCCACCTATCCCACAAAGTCACCTGGGATCCCATGATAAGTCAGCTGGCCTCAGCACGGTCCTGGGAAGTCCTGCCTAGATCCTGGGTGTCCGCCTCTGGGCTCTCTGCAGGAAGGCACGAGGTGCCCAGAGCTGAGAACACTCGAACTCTCCGTGGAATCACATCCCTGGGAGTTGCCTGGGAAGGGCCCGGCTGGGCGGGAGGGGAGGGATGTCGCACTGGTCAGGCAGAGGAGGGAGGTGCAGCCGGCTGGCCGGGCAGGTGTGGCGCGTCGCCTGGCTCCGGTCGGGACGTGGAGGCATCCACTTTTGCAAGCAAAGCTGAAAACGGCAAGACGAGCCTGTGCTTCTCTGCAACTGTCCAGTGACCGTCCTAGAACTGACTAGCACTGCTGGGGTCGCACTGCAGCAACCGCACGATGGAAGGGTCGCTCTTGGCACCTTTGATGAATTCTTCCAGGGACAGTTTGCCTGTGAGACAGAGACAGGAGAAAGTGGATCAGCCTCGTCCCTGCATTCCAAAGGGGCTGGAGTAACACTTGGGTCAGGGAGACCTCCCATGACCAAAGTCTTGAGACTTCTGGAGACTGGACACGGCCCCATCCCCATCACTGCTAGGGCATTTCTGGGAAAAAATGAAAAGCAAAACCTTTTGCTCTCACTGCTCCTTGCAAAGCATCTGGCAACCACAAGTTCATACCCGGAGGGCAGTGAGCCTGGTAGATGGGGGTGGCTCACTGATTCCAAATCACCCCACGCTTCACCTATTAAGAAATTCGGGCCTTGGCCAGGCAGGACATGACCTTTGTCCCCAACCCATAGATAATCAGGGGCCATGAAGGCCATGTTGGCTGGGTGCTCCTGAGGCAGCCCTGAGAATCCACTGCTGGGGGTGGGCTCCGCCTGTCAGCCACGCTGCCCACCGGCAGCCCCATGGTCCCCATGACCATCCCCAATGAGCCCTGACTGCACCATGCCCTCTCCTGGTCTGCTGCTCCACAAGCAGGTCTGTCCATTCAGATCTGGCCACTGGGGAAGGAGACGGGGCTCCGGAGGACAGCGGAAGGACCCCAGCTTGCATGGTCTCTGTGCTCAGGGGTCTGTGGTTGTGCAGAGGGACCATGCACACTCTCCGTCAGGCAGCGGCACAGGTGACAGCTGTCAGCAGCCCAGGCCAAGCACCTGGTGGAAGTGCCCTTTGGCTCTTGGCTCTGTGCCAGTGGCCTGCCTGGACCGTTTCGTGTTTCAGGGTCTCCTCTTCAATTTGGGATGATGGCAAACCATCCCAAGGACTCACAAGCGGGTGCATTTGAGAGGTCAGCCCAGCACTGGGCCTGGGGGACTCAGGGGCCACTGTCATGCAGCCAGTGACAGGGACCTTCCTCCTACCCACTGCTGAGCAGACACTCTGGCTTCTCCCAGGCATGATTTTCACGACTGGTGGCATGCGGCAGGTGCATCTCCTCAGCCACATGTGAAAACCTCGGTGGCGGTGGGGGGAGAGGCAGGGGACAACCAGCCTCTCCCTGTACCCAGGCCTCCCAGCCAGGGGGTGAGGAATGACCAGGTCAGCCCAGCTTGGCCTCGGAGGGCTTGCAGAGATGCTGGGAATCCCTGAAAGTTCCAGTCCTCCTCCTGCAGAGAGCAGGGTGGGTTAGGCTTGGGGGTGGGGTTGTGAGCACAATTTGTCCCCCAAGTGCAGCCCAAACAAGTCAGCAGGGGAGCGTGATGACCCCAGCCCGGGGGGAAGGCATCAGCCCAGGCCAGAGGTCCTGAGAGCTATCAGCTTCTGGGTGGCTGGGGAAGGGGGGCGACTGTGGGTACTGCCTGCTCCTGAGCAGACGGCTACGAAGCCCAGGGGATGAGGGCAGTGTCCTGAGGGCCCTCGCTGCCACCCAGCCTCTCTGGTATCCCCTCCGTCCTCAAACTCCAGGGACTCAGGGGCTGGCTGCTGCGCTCATGGGGGGGGCACTCTGTCAGCGGGGTTGCGGGCAGTACCCACCTTCCAAGTTCACAGACAAGCTGGGGGGGACCCTCGCTGTGACACAGGAACTACGGCCATGATTTGTGGAGTGGCCGACCGCACACTCAGAGCTTTCTACCTCATCCCACAGAAGCCTGGCAACCACGTGAGACTGGGTTATCATCCCCATTTTACAGAGGAGTAAACCAAGTCTCGGGAAAGCCCAGCCTGAGCACAGGCCTGGAGGAATGTGAACCCTGCCTCTGGCGCACCATGGAGTGGAGAGCACAGTTCAGATCCGCCCAGAGGCAATGCTGGCGTCTTATTTTATGTGTAAATGTGTTTTGAAAGCTGTTCCCTTGCTGTCTGGAATCTGTTTGCTGCCCACAGTTACACAGAAGCTTCTTCTCCCCGCTGGGCTCAGCGCCTAACTCACCTGCTCAGCGCACTTAAGACTCGACAAAGCACTTTCTGGTGCATTAACTTATTTTTAATCTCAGCACAACCCAGGGTGCATTTTCTTTTCTTAATGTTGCTGCTCTTTGTGTTCCAAGAGCAAATCAGACCTGGCTCTGGGGCCCTGCTTGGCAAAGCCGGCACACGGGCAGTACGGACCGTCTCGCCGCTGGCTCATCCTTGCTGCAGTCCTTCTAGAACCTCAGAGCTGACGCAGAGGAGAAAATGGGTGCACCCTGGTGGTCAGTGCGGCTGCTCTCCCTCCTCCCGAGACCGGCCTTCCTGCAGCAGTAGGACCCCAGAGTCCCAAGTGCAGTGGCGTAGGTAGACAAGGCCACCGTGTGCACCCTGACAGAGCTCCCTGAGGCCCCCAGGGTGACGGCGAGCCAGGCCGGCCAGCTTCCAGGACGCCTGCCGTCCTTTCCCAAGCACACCCTTGGGAACAAGTCAGACTGTGGCTCAGAGGGGCCAGAAATGGGCCCAGAGTCAGAAAATCAAAGGAGGGAGCCAGCACAAGATGGGCATCCTGTCCTGTGTCCCTCAGCACAGCTGTGCCAGGTGGGCAGGAGGCTGGGGTGGGCGGCAGGAGGCTGAGAGGCACAGAGGGGAGGGAAGTGTCAACACCCTGTGACCCCATAACGTCACGTGAACACAGGTCCCCGTCTGCCTACCGTCATTGTTGGTGTCCATCTGTCGGAAGATCTTGTCCGTCCGCTTCTCCGGAGTGGACTCATCTTCCGGCATCTTCATCACAGAGGACACCATCTTATAGATGGCCTGGAGGAAGCACACAGGGGATGCTCAGGGGACATTTCTGGGCATTTGGGGCAAGATGACAGATTCCCACAGCCCCCAGCCAGCCAGGGGCAGAGAGAGCGGGTGCTCCCCGGCAGCTAGACCTTCTCTAATGAGAAGGTCCCTGCTGCTCGGTTCACCTTGGACAGATCTCACGGACAGCGAAGTTCAAGGGCACACAGAATACCTCACTGTGACAGGGGAAGGAGGGGAGGCTTCTCGGCAGAGGGTCAGGGTTGGGACAGTGCCAGGAAGGTGCTTGTGGGACCTACTGGGGGCTGGGAATGCTGAGTGGGGTGGCGGTCACAGCTGGCGGTCACATGTCTGCAGGATCTGAATCTGTGACTCAACCAAGTGGGACAGAAAATATTGATAAGAAAACTGCACCCGTACAGATCTGCTGTCCTTGTTCCCTGAGCAATCCAGTGTGACTTGCACTGTATGAGGAATGGTAAGTCATCTAGACACGGAGGAACCGCGTAGGTCACATGCAGATTCTACACCATTTTATCTACCATTGTGCCATTTTGGTATCTGTGGGTGTCCTAGAACTAACTCCCCACAGACACCAAGGGGTGAATGTAATTCTGAGCTCTGTTACCTCTTTAGGAAATCACCTCTCTGAATCTTAGAACTTGTGAAATGTCAAAAATGACCCACTTCATAGGGTTCTGAAGGTGAAAACTGATCCCAGTGTGCGCCATGGGGCCCGGTGCTTACAGCAGGAGATTAATAAACTGGGCTTTTCCCATTGCTCTTTGTAAGGACCTGTCCAGTCCGTGACAGCTGATCACTTTCAATGGGCCCCAGAGAGTGACCTGCCAGAATGACGGGTCGCGTGGTGAACACAGAGCAGGAGGTCCCCAGCCCTGGGCGCCCCGTGGCCGGTACCTGCACGATCTCCAGCATCTCGCTGCGGCTGATGTAGCCGTTGCCGTCCAGGTCGTACATGCTGAAGGCCCACTTGAGCTTCTGCTCCAGCTTGCCCCGCGAGGTCACGCTCAGCGCGATGATGAACTCCCGGAAGTCGATGGTGCCGTCGCCGTTGGTGTCGAAGGTGCGGAAGACGTGCTCCGCAAACTTGGAGGCATCGCCGTAGGGGAAGAAGTTGGCATAGATCTTCTTGAACTCGTCCACGGTCAGGTGGCCGGTGGGGCAGTCCTTGAGGAAGCCCTTGTACCACTCCTGCAGCTCGTGGTCGGTGAACTCCGTGTTCTCGCGCAGGTCCTGCAGCACCTCGGGCCGCAGCTTGCTGTTCTGCTTGCCCATGGCGGCCGGCGGCGACTACACCTGCAGGACACAGGGGGGCTACGGTCACTGGGGCCCGGACTGGCTCCCCCCATCCCACCCAGCTGGCTGAGAACGTCCCCTCTGCATCCATGCCATGGGCTGGAGAGACCCAAGCAGGACCATCATTCTGCAAGCACCAGGTCTCAGCACACCCCAGATCACAAGGTGCTCTCCGGTCCTGAGCCCCGTGGAGAATGCAGAGCACTCCAGTGAGGTCCCGGTGGACCCCACTCACAGGTGGGACAGAGGGCAGCCTTGGGAATGTGGAAAGGTGAGGGGAAACCAATGGATGGAGCATGTCCAACGCCCCGGGGTGCTGTACACGTCATGAGATTAAAATAATTCCTCACTCTTGTCATCCGCCATCAGTTCAGGGCAAAGTGGCCACGTTGGCCCAAGCCTGACCCTTTGAGCTTCTGCTCCAGCTTGGGTTTCTTTTTGGGGTACTATGATCATGTTTTTATCCTTAGAACAGGTATCTGGAAACCTTGAGGAGCTCCCCGCTTCTTGCCTTTGAGAAACGGCCCTGGTGGGGGAGGTTCCAGAATGAACATTAAGCAGGAAATGCTGTTCTGAGTGGTAATAGCAAAACACGAGGCAATCATGGGACGTGGGACTGCGCTGCGCTTAAAAGCACAACCCGTGGGCAGCTCTGCACGAGGCCTGGGTGATGTAGCTTCCGCTTCACCACCCCATTTCATTTTCTGACTTCACATTAACACGTGTACACGGCTCAACAATTTTTGAAGCACACGGAAGCACGGGAGGGGAGAAAACGACTTCCCCCCGAGTCTCCGAGGAAGCCACTCTGAACTACTTGTCCATTTATGAACTCTAAGCAGGAGGCACTGTGTCCTCGTATGGAAGACAAGAAACTCACTTCGCCCACATGGCCACCACTTCCTCCTCCTTCCGTGCCTCCTCCCCAGGTTTTATTAGTTTTACGTCGACCTGTTTTTGCTTTTGTCTTTATGACTTTAACTGCTAAGCTTGATGCCCCTTTACTAGCCTCTCGTAGGACAGTTTGACATTACCTTCCAAAACCACACACACGCACCGTGACCCAGCAGTCCTGCTCTAGAAACCTCTCTACACACACTCCCACCTGGGCAGGCAACAGTGCCCGAGCTGCCTGCACTGCTGTCTGTAATGACCAGCAGCCCAGATGCCCCGTCACATCCTGACAAGAAACACTCTCCAAGATGGATCTTTAAGTGTCAAGCGTTGGTGCACCATGACATGCAGAGTTTGCTGCCATTTGTGAATAAGAAATACTTGTGCTTGTGTATTCATGTCTCTGGAAGGACGGACTAGAAATGATGACCTTGGCCAGGGAATGAAAGGGGGCTTGATGGACAGGGGCCTCGTGGGTCTTTTGCTGTAAGCCTTCTTGCAATTTTAAAATGCTGAACTCTGTGCCCATATTTTTTTTATTCAAAGAAAAGAGATACAAAAGCAAGAGCCAAGCGGCTGGACACAGAGCTCTCGGCTCTCCCTTGGGAGGATGAGCTGCCCATTCCTTCTTCCTCCTTCCGCATCTAGCTTTTGTCCCTCTTCTTCATCAAGGTTTGCAAACTCTCCATTCTGCTTCTCCTTCGGGTCGATCCTAAACTGTGAAGCCAGTCTCTCTGCATAACCTGATTCTCAGTTTCCTGGTGTTGAGTGTAGTTTGGTGGGGCAGCCTGGGCCCCGGGAAGTGGTGGCCAGCCAGGTCCAGCTCTGAACACGCAGCCCAGGAGCCAACCTCCCCAGCTGCAGTGAGTCTGCCCTAAAACCAGGATACATGTGGCGCCTAATCCACGGAGTTGAGGAGTCACATTAAGCCTTTGATGAATGTATAGATGGGGACGCTTTCCCCACGGGCCTCACTGCCCAGTTCTCTGACCTGCCCTGGTCCTGGGTAATAGCACCGCTACCCTGTTACTTTGAGTTCTTAAGTCTCAAAAGCGATTGGTGTTTAGCATGGATAATTCACCCCGGGAGCTTAGTTTATTGACAAGATAAGCAACATGGCTAAAGCCACACTGGGAGCATGAGAGACGGGGCTGGGCCTGGGACAGGCTGGTCCATAAAACCCCCAAGCTGGCAGAGCAGGACGAGCTGTCTCAGGAGTACTGTCCAGGGAGCTCCAGGAGTGAGGACGGGCAGGTGGCTGTCCATGAGGGCAGGACTGGAGGAGTGCTGGGGCGTGCTGAGCCGAGCAAGGGCGACCCTCACAGGGGATGCCCAGGAGGCCGTGCTCTGGACCCAGGACATGTGTGAGCGGCGGGTGGGGGCTGGGCTGCAGCCAAGTCAAGGTGCAGGAGAGAGAGGGTCCCAGGTCCCAGGCCTTCACTCCTGACCTCCTGTTGCTGCGGTTTCCCCTAAGGCTCGCGGGTGAGGCAACCGGAACACTCAGAGGCAAAATGATCGGCTTATGGAGCCACAGCTGGATCAGTGGGCTCACACTCGACTGGACGAGCAGTCTGAAAGGACTGCTGCTGTACCGGGCGGTTGGGAAGGCGGTGGGAGGCGGCTGGAGAAAGCAGGTCGCTGGGCATGCACCTGGAGGTCGTACTTTGTCCCTGGCACCTTGTTCTCTCTCTCCCTCTTTCTCTCCCCCTCTCCCCGCCCCTGCTTCCCGGCTGCCCTGAGCGAGCAGCGTTCCTCCACCACGCCCTTCCTCATGATGCTCTGCCCACCTCAGGCCCAGAGCAATGGAGTCTCTGAAACCATGAACTGAATCTCTGAAACCACGAGCCCCAAGTGAACTTTTCCTTCTCAAAACTGTTCGGGTTAGGCATCTTGGCGACAGCGTGAAACGCAGACGAACGCATCCACTCTGAGAGGCGACCATCGGAAGCATCATCCCTGGACAGGGGGCCGACCTGCCGGAAACTTCACTTACTAGTCCCCCGTACCAACAAGCAAACGCATCCCAGGAGAGCCCCGAAGCCTCTCAGGGGGGAGGCCAGGACTGGGCCCTGCTCTGCCTGGCTGAGGGCTCAGCGGGGAGGATGTCCCAGGGGAGAGAAATGAGTAACGGCCATCACCGCATCTCAGCCCCTGCTGAGCACCTTGCACTTCCCGTTTCAGAACAGGCCCTTGGTGACGCCCTTGGAGCCCAGGGTCCACTCGCCTTACTGAAAACCAAATCTCTGCTTGGACTGAGGCCTGATTTGCCTCAGAACCTGTCTGTGGTTTATGTTCCTACAGATGCCACTGAAGTGACAAATTCGTAGCTCCCCCTGGGCCTGAAGTCAGGAGGGCTCCAGGGCTGGCCCAGCTGTAAGCTAAAGGCAATGGCAGGGCGCTTCGTCTGCTGGGGAAACCGCCTGCGTCCCCAGGTCCTTCCCTGTGTGTCCCGGAGACTGACTGTGACTCCAGGACTCTGCCTCCTGCCCCCACCGTCTTTCTCGTGGCATCCAGCTGGCCTAGCGCCCAGCAGGTGTGGTTGGGGGCATCCCTGCAGTTCCCATGCGCACACAAACACCTGCCTTCAGGCTTCATTCCCTTGGGGCTAGGGAGCTCTCCAGTGGAGCCTGGGTGACCCTCCTTGGGATGCAGGGAGGGCTCAAGTGCCAGAGAGGACAGCGAGGGAGACTGCCTGGGGACCTTCAAACTGGGCCCCGGAGCCCCGGAGGCCTTCCTAAGGCTCGGGTGGGGGCTATGGGGTCCATGGAATAGAGAGAGGGGAGAAGGCCTCTGGGCCTGTGGACTCATCTCTGGCCAGAGCAGGGTGCTGCGGTCTGTTTCTGCCTCTGATCTCATGCACAGACAGGGTTCTGCTGGCGACAAGAGGTCTGAGACACAGACCCCCATCGCAAGGCCCGGAGCAGCGCTGGACAGTGGAAGACTGCAGGTCTCTGGATGATGGACTGTTTTCACCCCGTTTTTGAAACTCCCCCCAACAACAAGGAGGAAAAGAAACAAAACAAAGGCCATGCTGATGACCTTGACCGTGTCCACGAGGAGACGCCGAGAACCCCAAGCACCAACATGCACCAGTGGAGAGTGGGCAGGGAGAGGGCACAGGCCAAGCAGAGCCAGGGGCGCCGACCCTGGGTGCCTGCAGGGAGGGGTAAGAGCGGGTAAAGGAGGGGCCCCGGCCAGTTAGAGGCTGCTTCCAGAGGCCGAGACTGGAGGGCCTCAGTGCCTCAGGGAACACGGGTTGTAGCTGGAAAGCACAGTTGGACTTAGTCACATCCGAAAACACCACAGGTTGAAAACGCATCGAAGACTCCTAACCCACCCACATCACGGCTCAGTGTTTCCCCTCGTGTCACAGGGTACCTGGGAGCTGTGGCTACCGCCACTGCCCTGCACCCTGGAAGAGGATCGCACTGCAAGACTAACCCCGGAAAAGATCAAAGTTTAACATCTGAAGTCTGGTGGTTTCTGCTGAATGAAACATATAATATATGAAAAAAAAAAATCTGTGTTAAGTCAAGACCATGTGCGCGTGTGAAACAGCCTGAGCCCAGACGGCCTGCTCCTCTTACTCCTTTCCTCCTGCCCAGCTGCTAGACTACATTTCCCAGCCTCCCTTGCAGTCAGGTGCTCATGTGACCGTGACTGGCCAATGGAACGTGTGCAGTGATTGATGCCCACCACCTCTGTCTGGCCCTTGACCTCCAGTGCAGCCCTTCTTTCCACACTTCCCTGCTGTGGGTGGGATGCAAGGTTCCAGGGAAGGACTTGAAGGCTCCATGGGGTGCAGACCCCACAACCTTTCTCAGCTAGGCCACCTCCTCTGAGGTACAGCCCCCCAAAATGATTGGAGTGCCATCTCCTCAGTCCTCCTTCAGAGGGTGCATAACTACCGTGTCTTGGTGCATGGGTGCGGAGTCGCCCTCTGCTAATCACAGGTGCCTCAGGGACGAGGACTCGACTCTTCCCTGACACCCAGTTGATAAGGAGGACTCACTAAAAGGAAGATGCCCCCGTCCTCGAGGGAGGGCACAGAGCGGCACCCTCCCCTGCTGGTCACGCCTACTGTCATCAGGAACCACGCCTTTGCAGTGTTCCGCGCTGTCACAGCCCTGACCAGTATGGAGTCCCCACACTCAGCTTAGCAGAGGGACTTCTCCTCCACTCCAAAAGGAGGAATAGTTTCTGGAGAGACTCAGGACAGGGGAACAGACTGAAGAGCCAACAGAAAAGGGGTGAGTCAAGGCAAAGCTCCAACAGAGAGCCCCGCAAGCAGAGGAGGGCCAGCCGGGATCAGCCCCCAACAAGGGCCGGGAGGGAGCCCCCACAGAAACTCACTATGTGGTCAGGGCTGGTGCTCAGCACTCTCCAGTTAGCTGGGCTCTGGGAGTGCCGAGTCCGGGGCTGAGGCCAGCTCAGGGCCTGCTCTCTGGATCCCCAGGCTGCTATGGCATAAGTGCAGACAGGATGGACCCTAAAAAGCGACATGAAGTGGGCTTCTTGGGAGGCCTGTTCAGTTCTGGGCAGGGCAGGGGGACTAGGTGGTTTGCCTAGGACGATGGCAACGGGAATCAAAACTGAAGGACAAAGAGGATTTTAAAGGTTGCCGAAGGCTCAGTCCCCACAGACCACATCCGGGGAAGGCACCGCAGAGACTCCAGGACGGAGAAGCGGGGTCTGCTTTGCTCAGCTGGAGACGGCCACATGGTCTCCACTGCAGGGTGAAGGGCCAAGGTCCTGTGAGGTCTTGCTTGTCTGCAGCCGGCCGCTGTGGGCCAGGGGCATCTGAGGTGGGAGCGGGCCTCCTCGTATCCTGTGTTCCCAGGGTTCTTTCTCTGCCAAGATCCTGAGCAGCGAGGGAGACCCCAGCTGCTCTCAGCTGGTGTCCACCGCTGCCTCCTCCCTGGTAAACTTGCTGTCGGGACAGCTTCACAAGATGGCCTCGCCACTATAACTTTTATGAAGCCATTAAACGGAGCCTGTGAATGTCAAATAAAGCTGACAGCTACACTTGCCCTCCGTCCCTCACCGGGATAGCTCGTGTGTGCTCAACAAAGGCCCACATGAAATATTTAACACAAAGGACCTCATTTTAGCTCTCCCAGAGGCTCTCGGGCAAGGAACAGGGGATGCAGAGCACACTCCAAGCAGTGGTGACCCCTCCGTTATTAATTACAGAAATGAGCCAGGCTCCTTGACGCTTGGCTGTCTGGGAAATGGCGGACAGAAAGCAGACAGAGAGCTACTGCTCACACTTCCCAGCAGACATGCCACCTGGCTCTGGTCATTAGGCAGGCCCAGGCGTGGCTCATCAGAATCTCTTGCTTTCATGTCCAAGGAGGATGGCGTGGTGAGAAATGGCGGTACCAGGGGAGGGCAGCCTATGTGAGGGCACAGCCTTCTCCTGCTTGGCTTAAAACACTTTATGTTCCAACAGGACTCGAACCAGACAGGCCACAGCCTTCTAAGAGCACCAGAGACGGCGTCTGATTTCTGGTAATGGAACTTGGAGGAGGGAGTTAATGCAGCACTCACACCCATCTCTCTGGGTCTCAGTTACTCCGTTATTGTTCTTAATGTGCTAAATTGTAAAGAAAAATAAAAAAGAGTCAACATGTAGCTGGGGAGCCCTATGAAAATATTTAACCCGAAGCGGTCCTGCTGACAAATGGAAGCCTCTTTAAATGGCGTGGTTCTACTAGCGCCACAGCGGGGCCCCTGGGACCGAGGCTCCAAAGGCCCATTAGCCACAGCTCAGCAGCGGCCCAAGGCGCCGGTGGCATTTCATCCCATTGCTCAAAAGTACTCCCATCACTCAGGGCTCCAAAGCTTGCTGCCAGACGGAGACACTTGGAGGGAAGACGAGGGAGGAGGTGGCGACCCCAGGTCCTGGTGAAGGGCCAAGGCTCAGGAGGAGGCTAGAGCAGTGTTTGCAGTGAATCTGAACTTGAAGGGATTCTGAGGGCCGGTTTGAGAGGGGAGCCTGTTCTGTCTGGGTGGAAACGAAGGCGGGAGGCAGAAAACAGCTGCAGCTCCAGCTCCTTTGCCCCATGACCCCTGGACAAAAATTCCTCTTGGGGCTGAGCCACCGTCCTGGGGCTGACTGCAGTTTTCAAAACAACTCCGCCCTCTGTCCTTTCTTCAAATAAGCAGGTGAGAATCAAACCACCTGCAGTGTTGGCTTCCTACATAGTTCCCCAGGAGGGGACAATCCTGTTCTGGGGGGTGTGCCTTTGCCAGGGACCTGGTGCAGGTGCAGGCGCAGGTGCATCGGGCAGACACTAGAGGGCGGAGTTGGGCAGGCTCCCCAGGACTCTGAGACTGGCCCCTCCACTCATCAGCATGGGTACCTCATCTCTCCACCTACACCCTAGGGCTGCTTTGTCCAGTACAGTAACCACCAGTCACAGGTGGCTAGGGAGCACTTAAAATGTGGCCAGCCCAAACTGCCCTCTACCTGAAATACATACTGGGTCAAGCCTTTAATATGTTAAGAAAATGCATTTTTTAAAAAATTTGATTTCTAGGGAGTAGGACTGGAGGTCTGTTCTCCTAGCTGTGTCCATGTCCACCTCCTGGGGGTGGGGGTCTTCCTGTCACTCTCCAGCGATCATTGAGCCACATCACAGAGCCTTCTGTGAGGGGGTCTGAGCTGCTGCCCAGAGGGAGGGGGGCAGGTTAGTGGCAACCACGCTCGAATTCTGGGAAGAATAAGGAGAGGGACAGGAAGTGCCCACAAGGGCAATGCTTCCCTTGCGGAGCCTGCTAAGCTGTCAGGAAAGGAGACTCAGTGGTAAAGGCCCACGAGTATCCACCACACACAAGTCCTCTGCTCCTACAGACCAGGCCAGAGTGGGCTGCGACGCCCTGGGCAGGGCCAGGCCAGAGGGAGCCGGGTGGGAAGCCAAGTGCAGAGTCCCAGGCAGAGCCTTGCTTTGAAGGTGAGTAGGGGCTTCTGGTGGCAGAGCCCAGGAACCCCAGCCTGGAGGGCGATGGAGCCTCTGATCTGCCCTCGCTCCATCTCAGTTACCTCCTGGTGCCTGGTCGGAGCTCTTCCTGTGCCTGTTTTGCCCCCTCACCCTGGCACGCCCAGACAGGGTGATGTTCCTAAAGACCATCCTCGGGCCCAGGGTTTGGGTGCCATGTGGAGCCAGTCTGTGCCTCTGCGTGTAGTCCATCGTGATGTGAGGGTGAGGTCTGCACTGCAGTTCTCCAGGGGGTCAGACACAGGGAAGGGAGGCAGGAAGAGCTGGGTGTCCTGCAGCCTGTGACCGTGTGGTCACAAGGAGAGGGGCCACCCCACTCACACGGGCCTGATGGAGAAGAATGCCCAGCCTGCTGGGCAGGGGGGGAGATGGGCCCAGGGAGAGCAAGGGAGACACTGGAAGGCAGAGCTTGTCCTGTCTCGCCTGCCCACACCTCGTGGCCACACTGCTGGTCCCTGCCTGAGGCCCCCGCCCTGGCTCAGCTGGGCCCCCTGTGTGTGATTAGGCAGGCGGACCTCGGACACGCTGGAGCGACGCCTTGGGGCTGGGACTGACTCACATGCCCAACCACGGCTGGGTGGGAAGATCAGCAGGTCAGAGTTAAATCTCGATTCCACTGCCGAGCTCCAGGCCAGGATTGAGCAATGGCCCTTCCCCAGAGGACAAAGAGCGCAACTGCCCCTCCAGGGCTGGTTCTGCTTGTCCAGTGACTCAGCCCATCTGGCCGGTGGCCACCACCCAACACACCCAGAGGACACATGTGGCCCTGCAGGGGTGTGGAGCTGGGCTCTGGAGTCAGGCAGGGCTGTGCCTGGGTCTCAGTGTTCCAGACCACAACTCAGTGTGCACCTCTGTAAAATGGGCTTGCAGTCAGGGCTGGCTGTGTAGGAGGGGTGCCGGCCGGCAGGTCCACAGGGGATGTCCCATCCAGACTCCACGGCCAGCCAGGGTCTCCTTTCCTTGTCGGGTTGGTTGTATGCTCCCAGCTCTCTCTCAACTTCTCTGGGCTCCCATTTTCTTGACTGCAAAAGGGGAATGAGGGTCCCTACCTGTTGATTGACAGTGCAGCTTAAGGACACAGGGACCGGAGCTCTGACAGGCTGAAAGCACCAGACAAACACATGGAGGTTCATCACAGCTTTGATGAAGAAACGCCAGGCGCACGGGATGAGCTTAATCACAGTACCACGCAGAGCCAGGCGGAGCTGCGGCCGCGGGCTGGGCCTGCTGGAGCTCGTGGCGCTTTCTGGCAGACTGGTGGCTTCGCTTGGCACCACACAGTGGCATCCAAAACCAGGTCCTCAAGGCCTGGGCGGGAGAGAGCTGGGGTCACGGCAGCCCAGACACGTCCAGCTGGGGCGGGTCAGTGGAATTCCAACTCCTGGGCCTCAGAGAGAGCAGAGGAGAAAGCCCAGAAGAAAGTCGTGGGCCACGGGCTGCTCCTGGCAAAGTGGCCCCAGCAGGATGAGGCCTCCTCTTTCCTGGCAGGATGTGTCCTGGGGGACCAGGGCTGCCGCCTGGTTTGGAGCCCTTTCAATGGGAACCTGGAGGGCGGGGGCCATTCCACACCTGCCCAGAGAACCCCCAGCATCCTGAGGACGGAGGGGAAGTCAGACCTGTTGGTGGACAGGCTGCGGGTGGGCCGGGATGTGGGCACACCTCACCTCCCTGCCACAGACACCTCACGCCACCCGTCACACACACGCCCACATCCCTGTGCGGCCCACACCTGTGTGGCGTGTAGTCCCGCCATTCCCTGTCCAAAGGCCTCAGCCCTGACTCTGCGGGAGAGAGGCCCAGCCAGGGGAGGGCTGCCGAGGAGCGAGGGGGGGTCCTAACACAGCAGGGCGGCTGCCGGACTCCACTCCTACGGGCTCCTCCATAGAGTAATACGGGCCAGGCTTCCCGTCGTCCACTGCACTGCCCTTTAGGCACTGGGCTGGCACAGCCGAGGACCAAGCACGGGGCCTGGTGGAAGAAGGGCATGCGCGAGCCGGGGCGGAGGAGGGCTGCAGTGAGGAAGGGTGGCCGGGCGCTCCAGGAGGAATCTAGTGTCTTAGAGGCCAGAGCGTGAAAAGGAGAGGGCGGGACAGCGTGCAGTGGCTGAGAGGAACAGGCCGGGGCAGGCCACAGCTGCAGAGGGGCAGGGCCCGCTGCAGGACGGGGTCCCGGTGCAGGAGCCGCCCCAGCATCCAGGCTTCAGGCACAGGCCCTTGGGGACACCCCCACCAGCAAGTCCCTTGTTCCTGTGACACAGCTCTGGCCTGTTACTATGGGCAGCTTCGTGGGCAATGAACAGACTCAGAATGAGACTAACATTAAGGAGGATGGAACGATATAGAACAATGTAGAGTAGTCTAGATCCACCAGTGTCAAGGGAGGAGGAGCCGCCGGGGAAACGGAAGAAGACACCTTTCAACTCCAGGAATTCAGGCTAGCTACCTGAAGAGCAGCTCCAATTTATAAAGATGAAGTTAAAATCCAAATTAATAAAAGCAAGGGCTGGGTGGACGGGCGTCGACGAGGAACAGACAGAACTCCGCTGTCTTGCTCGGCTGCAGAATGGGCTCGGGGCCTGGCGGGCGGGATCGATCCCGTGCCCTGACACTTTCTTTCCTCCTCTGTCAAATGTGGGTTTGAAGTGCACCGTCCCTGAAGCACAGCCCAGCTCCAAAACACGGCTTTGAGTCTGTCCCCAGCGGAGCCTTCTAGAGGACCTGAGGCCTGTGCCAACGTCACTGTGTCCTAGCTCCAGGGTCTTGGTTGGCAGCCACTGCCCAGCTCTTTTCCCCAGGCGATGGCAGAAAGCTGAATGTCTGCCTGGTCCCTGGTTGAGTGATGACTAAATTCTCAAATGATGGGCCCCAGAGGAACTCATTCCAAGTTCAAACTCGCGTGCCCCTGATAAATGAGGCTTGGCGGCAGCCTCCCACGTCTGTGAGAAGCAGTGTCACTAAGTTGAGGCCTAAGTGGAGTCTTTAGGTCACACACGGCCCCTGGAGGGTTTGGGTGCTCTGACAGATGGCTCTGTCCTCAGGACAGAGTGACCCCTGTGATGTGCTGCCCACTGCTGAGCTCGTGGAGTGGGGGCGTCTCCTTGGTGTCCACTTACGGCTCTCACCCACGGCGCCAAAAACTTTTGTTGTTGTTTTTTTTAAACTTGGAAGAAAGCCTCCAGGGATCACCTCATGTGCCTTTGACTCATGTCTACCATCTTTGGGAAGAGATAAAAACAGTAAGCTAATTTCACTAAAATGGCATCAGCCCAGGGAAACATTAGGCGCAAGAATGGGGACATGCCAGCTGCCCCTTGGTGGCCCCAGTGGCCATGGTCTTAAGTTTCATTAGAGAACGTGTTTACAGTCAGGAGTGGGGACAGTTCAGAAAAGCTGCCCTTTGCCACTTTTATTCTTCAAATCACACCACCAGAAGCCACAGAGTCTCCGGAGGTGTTGGGCGACACAGATCTACGTACAGAAAGTGTCAATGAACGTGCTTCAACTGAACACCCACACTGTGAAACGCAGACATACAAGGTGCCTGTACAGTGTTGACTCTCTGGAGGGGAAAGTGAGGCCCAAGTTTCCTCTCTCCTCGCGCCCCAATCTATCGCCTCCTCCTTTGCCGGGCACTGTCTGGGTGCCGGGTGGCGGGGACGGGGAGGGGGAGGCAGCCATTCCAAGATGAACCCACAGACTCACGAGCCCCGGTCTCTTCCTGACTATTTTTCCCCAAGGACAAGGAGCCAGGTTCCATTTACCCAGGGCGCAGCCAGAAATAGTCCCACAACCACTTAGCACAAGTTCTGAAACAAAGGAAGTGCACAGTGATTGTTTGATGGGAGGAAGGAAGGAAGTCAGGGAGGGAGAGAGGGAGAAAGCCGGGCTGCCGGGGCACTCCTTCCAGAAACCTCCAACCCGCAGATCTGCCGCCCCCCACATGTGGTTCTGTGGCCCAGAGGCTCTCCAGCCCCGAGCACCGTCCAGTCCCTCTGAGACCACCTTCCTCGCCCGGCCCACACCTCCGACTTCTCCAGCTGACTCTGGTCAAAGGGCCCAGAGATGAACAGGGCAAATAGCTGTTAAGTATCTCTTGTGTTCTCTGGTTATCTCCAGGTTAAAAATTTGCACCTGAGGTCCGACGAGTCCAAGACTATTCATGGGGTCAAGTAGAGAGGAAAATGTGGCACCTGGGCTGTCCCAGGAACCCTGGGCCGTGTGCCCAGGGCAGGCTGGACTCCTCTAGAAGGGAAGGAAGGACTGGTGTGGACTCCACCTGGAGAGGCGGGGAAGAGGGAGGGGAAGCGCTGGGTGGGCTCCCGCCAGCTTGTAGGCCTGATCCAGGCGCCCACGTGTCTGGGGAGCACGGTGGCCTGATGGTTTGTTCCTCGGAGCCTCCTGCTCGGCACCCCCACCCCAGCACTGACGCAGCCTGCCTGTGTCACCCACCTTCCTTCTCTCTGCCCTCTCCTCCTACCCAGGCTCATGAGGGATCTGCTGTGGCACCTCACACAGAAGCTGACGTGGAACAGGTGCCTGGGAGTGGCGGACGGGCAGTAATCCCCAGGCCAGTGCCCGGGGTCCTGCAGAGGAGCCAGGATGCCAGCTCCCACCTCCACTGACCACAGGAGTAAAAACGCCTGCAGCAGGGTGTGCGTGCCCATTGCCCACAGCGCCTGCCTGGCAGGGCTGGTTGCTGGACGAGGGTGGAGGATGCCCACAGGAAGTGATACTGCACAGTCACCCTAAAAATAAGACTCCACTTTCAACAGAGGAAGGATTTTCCCCACCCTGGTGCCTGCCCCGTGACCACAGTGTCCAGGCAGGAGGCTGTTTGAGAGCCAAGGTGGGCGGCTGTCCAGGACGCTGCCTGGGATCTGTGGCCTGGTCAGCACTGTGAGGGCCACAGCCTGGCGCTAGAGGAGGTGAGCCTGGGTCAAGCTCTCCTGCAGACCCGAGCCCGCAGCCCCTGGCAGCGTCACCTGGAGAAGAGCCGCTGGCCGACCACCTCTCTAGAGGCCACAGCAATCTTCTGAGGCTCTGAGCAGAGCTGCCTGCGTGGAGGACCCAGTGTGTCCACCGTGGGGTGCTGGCGGCACCGAGAGGCCACCTGGGCTGTTTTCCACACTGTGCCGAGAGCTGTGCTCCCACCCGCTGACCCCTCTTCTTGCCCCCTCCTTCCTGATCCTCGGGTCCCACTGACCTCTTGCCGCTCCTCCACTCCCCAGGCAGTGCTTTGCCAGGGGCCCTGGGCGCAGCTGCGGTTCAGGGAGAAACGTGCTGCCCCCAGCCTCCCCAGGTCCTTGTTGGGCCATTTCCCTGTGAGGCCTCCCCTAAGAACTCTCACCAAAATGGGAGTCCCGGCAGCACCCTTGATGCCTGTTTCCAACTCTACTGTACACTGAGTCAGGTGTCACCGTCCCCTGCCTCCCACTGAGCATCGCCTGACCACTGACTCCACAGCGAGGGATGTTTGGCAAGGGATGCTGGTGTCAGGAAGCACGTCAGACCCCGGCGCTTCTCTCTTGTGGGTGGGGGTTACCGAGCACTGACTGTGTGACGGGCAGGGACCCCAGAGGCCTTTGCTCTCTGCACCTGCTCCAGCTTCCTGATGCCGGTCACCATTCTCAGCAGAACCCCAAGAGGCCCCTGTGCACTATGCTGATGCTTGGGGGGCGTGTATACAGGTGGCATCCAGTACTGCACACGCAGGCATGGTTCCTCCCACTGCTCAGCTCTGATGGAAGGAATCAGAGGAGGAAAACAGCACCTTCCACACGCAGGTGGGGGTGGGGGTGAGGACCAGTGGCCCGCCCACTGCCCTGACTCCAAGGCAAAGGCGCCAGCAGGGTGTCTCCTCCTGACCAGTAACAGCGTCCACAGGGTGCGCAGGGAGAACGGGAGGTGGAGACATCCCTTCCTAGGAGACCAAGCAAAGCCACTCCACCCGCAGGAAGGCAGGGTGACGGCCGGCGGGCATGGTGCTCCCTGTGCCCTGGAAACCCGACCCAGCAGCATGGGTACCTGGCGGGAAAGCAACCCCACCCAGGGCTGCGGGGGCCGATGGGACTGGCCACCTGGGGACGGCTGGGTGGGACTCCTGGACATCAGCCTCTGCGGTGGAGGCTGCAACTGTGACAGGTTTCAGGTCCACATTTTAGCCCCCAGCCGAGTGCCGTGCACGGTGCCCTGTGGGTGGGAAGGCGGGGATCACTAAGTCACCCGCCCCCTGGGTGCTCCAGACTGCGGTGGGCTGAGAGGGAAACGGAGGACCAAAGAAACACCGAAAGACAGATGCCCCTTTCCCCCTTGGCAAACCCCTAACTCTCCCTGGACGGAAGCACCGGGATCAAGTGATGTGCCCAGAAAGACCCAGCCCCGAGATGGACCTTCCCAGCTCATCCCTGGGCCTGTTCCTGGCCTGCGCCTGGGGTGTTCCTGGCCTGCGCCTGGGGGTGCTGGGCAGCCTGGCCCCCACTGCTCGTCTTTCTTGGTCTTTATGCTGAGCTGGGTGAAGTCCCTGCATGTGGGCAGGACCCACAGATGGCAGGAGCCCCCCGCCACGCTTGGCCCTACCCAGGCCCAGGGCAGTGAGGCTACAGGGGCCACTTACCTGAGGCCAAGTGGAGGCTGAGAGGAGCAGGGGTCAGAACCTCCAGGGGCTGGATGTGTGGGCTTGCCCGGGCTGCTAGACCATGCCCCTGGAAGAGAGAAGCCAGGGTCAGGCGGGAGGCAGGCGCGCCCGGCCCCCAGCCCACCGCCTCTCCCTCCAGCTGGTTCCGCACACCTGCGACAGGGACCACGGCTCTGTGAGCCCCACACGGACAGAAGCCAGTGCGGAGACGCGGGCGCTCGGCCTCCGACCCGCTGCCCCAGCTGGGTCTGCGTATCTCGTGCGCATGGTGTGCATTTTTAACAGACTTCATTTTTAGGGCAGCTGTAGGTTCATGGCAAACTGAGGAAGGTGCAGAGATACCCCACGTACCCTGACCCTCACACACACACCAGAGTGGGACGTTCGTTATAGAGCAGAGGGACATCATTGTCACCCAAGTCTGTGGCCTACAGCAGGGTTCACTCTGGCTGCTGCACATTCTGTGGGTTTTCAGGGTAAACACTGACTTGTATCCACCACAAGTGTCACCCAGGCCAGGGACCCTGCCCTGAACGTCCCCGGTGCCCTGCCTCGTCCTGTGTAAGCTCAGGTGCCTTCAAGCCATGGGCTCCCTGAACCCTGCTTTGACACTTGGGGAAGCGAAGCCCAGGTGGGCCCTGAGGACACAGCAGTGGGGCAGAGGCAGTGCACCAGGTGCTGTGCCTGTCACCACTTTGTCGCCCACCTTCCGCCTCACAGGCAGGGTCGTCCTCACCCTTCCCAGTGAGGAGGAAGCGACTCTGGGGCAGCCCTGTCACACTGCGCTAAGTGGGAGGGGGCCGCCCCAACACAAGTCTCCCAGGCCCCACTCTCAGCTGCTCTTGTGAATTAAACTCCCTCTAAGAGGCGCAGCTAGCACCCCTCCCAGGGCGGGGTGGGGGCTCTCCAATTCCCAGGCTGGCGCAGGCGAACACAGTCCCCAGGCTCTCGGTGGACACTCTGCCTGCCACATCACACCATTAATGCCAAGTGGCCTTGCCAGGCTGCATTCCCTCAACTGTCCAGGTACAAAGATTCCACGTCACCCACTTTTAGGGACAGCCCTGGGTGACAATAAGCTCAGTGCTGGCTGACCTCAGACAGCCACTTCTAATCCTCAGAGTTGCTTTCTATCCAGCCTCCCTGTCCCTCAGAAGGGACCGTGGGCTTCAGGGGAAGCTCTGGAGTGGGAGGTGCAAGGGGAAATTCTGGTTCCGCAGGGGCCTCCGCTGCCGAGTGACCTTGGGCGTGGTGACCTCTGCCATGGTCAGTATCCCCATCTAGGACCAGGCAGGTGGGCTGGACCCTAGAGGGGGGCCAGGGCCAGCTCCAACCCCAGGCTTGCTAGCAGGAGGGTCTTGTTTCCAGAGGCCTTGGGGCAGGGCTCCCAGGCTGCCTGGGAACACTCCATTAACTTGAATTGCAAATTTCCTCCTGGCTCTATCGCTGAGCCACAGGGGCTCCCTAGCCACCAGCTTTCCAGTGACAGATAAAGATTACCGTCCTTGCTTGAGACGGCATCAAGAAACAGAAGTCATTATGCAGCAATAATTATGTCGAGTTATGTCTGGTTGCTCCTGATATCTGTCAAGTGATTGTCTTCCACATTGTCAGGCCTCTTCCTTTCTAGAAGAGAGAAATGCAGAGGCCCGGGTGACTCATGCGGCACAACAGAGCACGGCTGTGCGGCTGCAAACTCCTCCTGCATGCTGGGCACCGGCGGCAAACTCCTCCTGCATGCTGGGCACCGGCTGCAAACTCCTCCTGCATGCTGGGCACCGGCTGCAAACTCCTCCTGCATGCTGGGCACCGGCCTCCCAGGAGCAGGTGCTCTCTCTGGTGCCCTCTGGCTGAGACTCTGGGAGCAGAGTCACCAAACTCATCCCAGGGACCTGCGCTGAGCCTCCTTCAAGGCCCTCTCCACACCTCACTTCCTCTGCGGGTGCTTCCTGACCCAGAGCCCCAGCCCTAGTTCCTGTAGGCCTAAGGCTCCTCCCTTCCTTAGGTTTGGGCTCTCCAGGAAACAGTGTAGCCTGTGACCAGGCCCTGCCCGCCGGGCCCTCCCAGCTCTTGACAGGGGCTAGTCCAGAGCTGAGCTGCAGGAGAGCTGGAGGGAGAGGGGAGCAGGGCTCCAGTCCCCGGTTCCTTCTGTGTGATCTTGATCTGTACTTCACTCCCCGCTGCCCTCCCCACATCAGTAATAGGCTACCTAGCTCATCAAGTTTTGGTAAAGATTGAGTTAATACACACACACACACACACACACACACACACACACACACACACACACACGCTTGGCACCTACGAAACTCAATGACATCAACTATGAAGGGGCTGGGAGAAGTTCAACTCTAAAGACCGAAAGACCTGCAACAAGTGAATAAGCAATCAGAAAACTACCCACAAATAAAGCCCAGGCCCAGAGGGCTTCACTGCTGAATTCTCTATAAACATTTAAAGAACACCAATTCTTCTCAAACTCCTCCAGAAAATAGAAAAGGAGGGTACATTTACTAAGCTCATTATAGGAGGTATCACCAGGATACAAAACTACAGAAAGGTGTCACAAGAGGATGAAGTTACTTACCAAAATCTTTTATGAATATAGATATAAAAGTCCTTCAGAAAATAGTAGCATACCAAGAGCATCAATATGTAAAAAGGATCATACATCATGATCAAGCAGGATTTAACACAGGAATGCAAGGTTGGTTTGCCATCCAAAAATATACACTAAGCCAATAAATATAAAAAAACAAATGTCACAAACTCATCTCAGTAGAAGGAGAAAAAGTGTTGACAATATCCAACACCCTTGCATGATAAAAACACTGAGAAAACTAGCAGACGGGAACTTCCTCAATCTGACAACGGGTATAGTTAACATCATGTTTAATGTTGAAATACTGGCTACGTTCTTCCTAAGATTAAGAATTAGACAAGGATACTTACTCTTGCCACTTCTATTCAAAATTGTACCAAATTTCTAGCCAGAGCAATTAGGAAAAAAAAAAAAAAGATATTCAGACTGGAAAGGAAGAAATAAAATTATCTCCATGTTCTGATGACATGGTTTTATATATAGCAAATGTTCAGAATCCACTAAGAAAATTAGAATAATAAACAAGTTCAGCAAAGTTGCTGGATATAAGATAATTATAAAAAAAAAAATCAATCGATCTGGGCGTGGTGACATGTACCTGTGTTCCCAGCTACTCAAAAGGCTAAGGCTTGAGCACAGGAGTTTGAGACTAGCCTGGGCAATGTAGCAAGACCCTATATTGTCTTTAAAAAACTGTACTCCCATATCCTTGCATTAGAAAGTGAAATTAAGAAAATTATTCCAAAAGGATTCCATAAAAAAAAAAACAACTAAATACTTGGGAATAAATTTAACAAAATAAGTGCAAAACTCCTACTCTGGAAACTATAAAATGTTGTTAAAAGGAATTAAGGAAGATCTAAATAATAGAAAAACATTCTATGTTTATAAATAGGAAGACTTAATATTAAGTTGTCAGTACTTCCCAAACTGATCTATAGATTCAATGCCATTCCCACCATAATCCTAGTTTTACTTTTTTGCAGAAATTGAAAAGTTGATTTTAAAAATTCATGGTGGGGGGCAGTGCTGGGGAGTGTTATTGGCCAAATTATATTATTACACTGTGTGCATGTCCAAATAGGTAACAACAAATCCCATCATTATGCACAACTATAATGCACCGATTAAAAAAAAAGTGAAAAAAAATTCATGTGGAATTGGAAAGAACTGAGAATTGCCAAAGCAACTCAGAAAAAGAAGAACCTAGTTGGAGGACTCCTCCTGCGTTCAAAACTTACTATGAGGCAGTAATAATCCAGACAGTGTGGTACCGGCACAAGGACAGGCAAAAAGAAAAATGAAAGAGAACTGGGAGGCCCGAAGTAAACCCACCCATCCAGGGTTAACTGATTCAGCAAGGGTTGCAAGACCATCCCGTGGAAAGGAATATTTTTTCAACAAATGGTACTGGGACAACTGAACAGTCACCAAGAATGAAACCAGACCTTGCCCCACACCATACACAAAAGTTAACTCAAAATGAGTCCTCAAAGATCCAAACATAAGAGCTAAACTCACAGGATGTGGAAAAGAAAACAGGGTAAGTCTTCATGGTCTTGGGTTGACAAAGGCCGAACACCAAAGCCCAACCACCAAAGAAAGACAGATTAAATTCTCCATCAAAATTAAAAACCCGTGCTTCAAAGGACACCACCAAATTACTGAAAAGAAAATGTATAGAATGGGAGACTATATACATGTATGTTCCAGGGACTGAATCTAGGGATGCTTAACCATTTAGCCACATCCCCAGACCTTTTTTATTTTATTTATTTTTTAAATTTTGAGACAGGGTCTAAGTTGCTTAGGGCCTCATTAAAGTTGCTGAGGCTGGCCCCCGAACTTACAGTCCTCCTGCCTCAGCCTCTTGAACTGCTGGGATTACAGGTGTGCCCACCATGGCTGGCACTGGTAGAAAATGTTTGCAGATCACTTACCTATAAAGGACTTTTACCTGGATGACATGAAGAGCTCTTCCATAAGGCCAGGGATGTAGCTCAGTGATGTTGCCCTGCCTAGCTTGCCCGAGGCCATGGGTTCAATTCCCGGTGCGTGGGTCGGGGTAACTCTTACAACTCAATAAAGAAAGACTAATGCCCAATTAGAAAGGGCAAACGATTTGATAGAAACTTCTCAAAAGATGTGCAAGGGGACAGTAAGCACATGGAAAGATGCTCAGCACCATTAGTGATTGGAAAACACTGACCAAGAGCACAGGCAATACCACCTCATGCCCACTAAAACTCCTTAAATTGAAAAGTCTCATCAATGCATGTGTCGGCAAGGATCTGGGAAAACCAGAGCCCTCACACACTACTGGTGGGAATGTGAAACTGTTCATCCATTTGGAAAACAGCTTGACTAAATATAGTTATTATATAATCCAGAAATTTTCCACATAGGTGTACTCCCAAGAGAAATGAAACCTCACGTCCACCCAAAAACTCATAAATAGAAAAAAA